TAAAAATTCTGTTTTTCACAGAAAGCAGGAGGAACGTTTGACGAGCAGTGTTGGAAGCCAAGGAAACTAGCTGACAACACAAATATCTGGACGAACGATTGGTCTTGACCACTCCCGTCCTGTACAAACTGAATTGAACTGAACCGAGCTGACCTACTTCAAGGCTAATAAAGCTCAACACGAACTTTTCAGGTTGTGCGCTGTTGTGAGTCGCAGAAGACCCGAAGTGTTTGTACGGTTGTACCGTACAGTGCGTCCTCATTAAGAATATTGCGTACATGCATGGGCGCCTTATTTTAAAGTACAGCGCTTAGCAACTAGAATGGTAGCGGGCCAGAAGGATAAGGGATACCTCCAACGACTGAGGGACCTGGACCGGCTCTCCCTGGCCCGCAGACGCATGCGGGGCGAACTTATAGGGACGTTTAAGATTATCAAGGAGCTTTCGGGTTTAAAGTTCCAAAACGTATTCTAGTTTGTTCTTGCCAAGGGCACGAGGGGGCATCAACTTAGATTGGAAAGAAGTCATTGTAGACTAAATTTGCGAGCTAGGTTCTTCACAAGCAGAGTTATACTACTGTGGAATAAATTATATGAGGCCGTGGTTAACTGTAATAATGTTGAATCTTTCAAGAGAAGGCTAGATGAATACTGGGCAGTGGTAGTTCCCGAAGTTGAGTGTTGAAAGTTAACCGTTAGGCTTTCCTTTCCGAAACATTGTAAGGGATCTGATACCGCACAATAACATTCTGTCTTTCAGAAACGACTATTGGCTCGAAGTGTTGGAAGCCAACGAAACCGCCGACAACACAAGGAACTGGACACGCGATTGTCAATAGCCACAATTCGTTCTGTGAGAACTGAACTGAACTGAACCCAGTGAACAAACACAAATCGTTAGGGGATAGGAAAGCATTGATACTATTGCACGCCTATGTATGCAGTATTAGGAATAAGTGGGGAGAGCTGGCCACATTGGCTGCGGGGACAAAGGTTAAGGTGATTGTTCTGTCTGAAACGTCTCTGACGCAGAAAGACCACAACCCAAAACCAGTTTTGAGCCAGTTCACAGTCCACAGACAGGACAGGAAAGGGGGTACACTGGGGGTGGTTGCGGTGATTGCTTATGAACTATGAATTCTTTTGTTTTATTAAACACGATATCCTTGTATATTCTTAATTTCCGCCTATTTCAATTCCATTCCGCCTATGAGTTGACTTCTAATCTCGTTTCGAGTCCTAATTCTGGGTCGTACTATAACTGAGCGGAATCCAATACGTATACGAAATACTAGTCCGAGTACGAAACACAACAGCTGTTATTGCGGTCTTTTTGAACTAATGGAGTCCTGTAATTTGGAGAACTTGAAGATACATGCCAGTGCGTGCGAAGTCGAAGACTATCTTGAACGGTTCGAGATTTGGTGTATTACACGGAAGGGACTCGATGGAGAACGCACAACGGCTTATTTCCTAACGGTCATCGGAAAGGATGCTTACTCATTATGGCATTTCCTGACTCTCCTATATCGTTGTCTTAGGAATCCCTGAAAACCTCGCTGCTGAAGCATCTACAGCCAGCTAATTTCGAAGCTGCTGAATGAGCCGAATTTCATTCACTCACACGTGGTGGAAGCCAACATGTACGTGACTTTATTGTTCAACTTCAGACTCAAGCATCCCGTCGCAACTTCGGAGATCAATTGCAAAACCAGTTACGTGATGGATTAATTGCCGGTATTAATTTCCCGGAATTACAGAAAAAGCTCCTGCTCATGCAGGATTGCACATTTCAGTTAGCTACGGCAGTCTGTGAACAGTACCAAGGCGTCCGTGCCATTATTTGTGATGAATCCCACTTGTTGTTCAATGCCATCAATTCCAAACAGTAGCCATCCCGACGGTAGCGGTTTTTCGAAAAAAGCTCGAAAACACCAAGCAACATCAGTTCTCCATCCTGCAATGCTCAACGGATTCAACAATGGAACAGGTGCAATTCCTGTAGCCTAGGACATTCGCGGTCATCCTGTAGATTTCGAAATGCCAAGTGTCACAATTGCGGTAAGCTTCGCCAATTCGATAATTGGTTTGAATTGTATGAATGGTATGCATCTGTCATTTTCATTCATGTCTGACTCCCATCAATCACGCCTTCATCACTTAATACTTGAATGTTCCAAGGCAAAGGCTGGTATCAAAATGACTCCTGTGAGTCTCGAAGTGACCGGTTCTTCGGTGTTTATGAAACGTCGGATTATCCCACTTGGACTTCGCCCGTAAAAAAGGCGTTAGATGAAATGGTGAACAAGGGAGTTCTGACACCCGTAAATTCTTCGTCTTGGGCCACGCCAATTCTTATTCCACTAAGACGTGACGGGAAGACTCCTAGGATATGTGGGGATTATCGAGTCACGGCGAATAGACACCTGAAACAGTCTAGTTGTGCCCCCGTCGAACCAGAAGACATTCTGCACCAACTTCGTGGAT